TGTGCAGAAGGTAGGCACCAAAAATGTATGAATTCACATGGAAAGTGGTGAACCTACGCACAAAACGTGTATGAATGGGCTCAAAAAATGTATGAATTTTTCAAAAATCCTGGTTTTTTGGTTACTGTGTTCTATAGGGGCTTTCCTGGGTCCTAATCCGCCACAGTTCCAATGCAATTAGGTCCAAACTAGATGTGAAAAATGAAAAGTCTGGTATTGGATCTTGATTTTCTTTGTCAATATTTTAGATCTATTCAATATAATCAATGATTGGCAACTGTATTCCCTACCCTTTCAAGGTATGGCTCAAAGATATTGGCTTGGAACACAAAATTTCTTCCAAGAAAATGGTATTACAAAGGGCCCTGGACATGTAACCCCTTCCTTTGAACTTTGGAAGGGTATCTTTCTGATCATCTTTTTTGGTTTCCCCTTTTAATTTGTGATCAAAATATTCATTAAGCTCATCAAGCAGTATTCCACCAATTTGTTTTGTAGTTTACTTGATTTGAGTGGAACCCCCATCAAGAATCAAATATTTCTCCTTTTGTGAATTTTCATTGGGCAATTTGTATTGCATCTGAATTTCTTGTAATACACAATCAATTTTTCCACTAATCAGAACCTTTTTTGAATTCCCAAGGTCATATTTCATCAAAAAACATCCATTGCTTCACTCCTGGAAGTTCAATTGCGCAGCCTCTCTGGAAGCTTGTAAACTACTAACACTTCAGGGGACTTGTTGATACATTAATCTGTGTGTCACAGTAACTACATATTGAAACACATTGATCTGGGTCTTGACATGACCTGTAAGAGAGATACATGAAACACATGTCTTGAGTGTAGATTTTGCTCATGTTTTGGCCTTGAAACTACCATAGACTTTCTGTATTCAGATTTTGATCACTCCTCTGAATAAACTTTTTAACATCTTCATTGAAACAAACTGGAATGAATTCCAACCCATTGGTAATATAGAACACTAATTTTCAATTTTCAACACATTTACATAAACATATGCAGGTAAGACATTGAATCAGTTTCTGGGACAAGTGTTATAAAAAGAAAAGAAACACCTGGTATTGAAGGGGATAAATATAAAATTGAAAGAGAAATGATCTGCCATGATACTTTCCTAGTAAACTGAGCTAGAGTCCCTAAGTGTACTGCCAATCCATCTGATCATGACAACTTCAACAAGGCCTACATCAACCTTCTTTAAAGCAATTGCTCTTTATTACTTCAGTTTTCATTTTGTAACTGCTCCATTGGTTAGGGAAGAATTATTGCCTACTCATTCTGAAACTCTCAACACTGATTCACATATATTCCAAGACCTTTCCGACCTTCCCAAAGAGATCTTGAGGCCTTCCAAGAAGCAAAAAATTTCAGGAACCAACCCTTATAACTTGGAAGAAGATTCAAATAGAGATGAATCTGGCTCAGGAAGTGAGATTATATCTGTACCTTAATTTCTTCACATCAGTGATGACAACTGATTTTTTGTTCTCATGTTGCTTAGATGTCTCTGATATTTTCAACTTCTGGCCTGAACTTGATCTTCAAAGCTATGTAGACATTTTGAAGCCAGCCTCAAGTTCCTATTTCAACAGTGGATTAAATGAGAATTGTTAGTTTCATTGTCAATTCAGATCAATGAGATTATAAAAACTCAATGAGCTCATTTGTATTCCAATATCCTAGATGGCTCACATCTTTTGAAAGAATTTGATTCTCTTTGGGAGAACAGAGTAGATTGGAATTACCAATCCAATGTGGATTCACAACAACAACCCTCTGGCTCCTGCATCAGTAGTTTATCAATTGGGAAAGGTTGGCATTGCTGTGTAGATTTTGACTGTAAAATATTTCACAAACTGACAAATAATTCATGCATATGTTGGTCGTCCAGATAGCCATCCTGCTCCTGACCATTGTGATTCCCCTGGGAGAGAAAAAAATGAAAATAATTTTCCAACAACCCAATCCCCATCTTCCATTGCCAGTATTTCTCATTTGGGTATGTTAAGGAACAAAATTCATTTGGAGTTATTTTTCTCATCAGATTCTGACAAACTGATTTGTCTTTCTGTATAAATTTTCATCACACAGACAAGCAAACAGTGGAACCTTGTGGAGAAGGAGAAGAACTTACTTACAAAATTGATTTTCTTCAACAAAAGAATAATAAGTACAAGGAGAATTCAACAGGAAAGCTTCAAAGTGAAATCACAGGAAACTCTGAGGTCAATATTACTGAGGATGAAAAAAAGAAAATTGATGAACAAATATCTAGATATATTCATACCCCTTGCTCTCTTCTGGGAGCAAAAGAAAGCTACTTTGAAAAAGGTGAAACAATTATCAATCTCATTCAGACAGCAGCAAAGGCTCTTGGCTACCATAGCATTAAGAGTTTCCGTGAATTGAAGGAATTTGAAAATAAACTTGACCAAAAACACAATGATCTCAAGAAATTATACAATATTAGAGTTGGAAACACTGGATTAATGGTACTTCCAGATACAACAAACAGAAGATTCTTCCCTTCTGCACCTGATAACACAATTCACATCAGGATTTTTCCCAATTCAAACTTAAGCTCAAGTCTAGCTGCTGATTGTATCATCAAAAAAATCAAAGCAGTTGGAGAGGCCCTATATGTTTGTCACAACTGGTTCTTGGATATAAATTTGAAGGAAGTCAAGAATCTAGAAAAAACAAAAGGAGCTCACAAGGCACTTTTTGAATGGTTTTACAATCTAATATTCATGGATACTGACAACCATCTCCCACTCCTGGGAAAAGTGCACAGGTCACAAGAATTAACAACCAAAGAATTCAATGATACTCAAACCATGTTTTGCAATCATATAAATTCAAGAGGCAGATTCAGCAGAGTAAAGTCTTTCAGAACTGCTCTTGATTTGATGCCAATTTTTTTCCAAACACAAGGAATTTTCCTCACTCAAGAACACTACATGGCATTAGTTGATTTGGCAATTCAAAAAGTTAAACCATTCAAATTTAGACCAATATTGAACCATTTTTAAATTCTTCTTTTCTATACTCATGATCTTATGAATTGTGATAAATGCAGTATTTTGATTAAAAATAATTATTCCTTTTCTAAGAAAAAATTGAATTAAATATTAATATCCTTCCAACATCTTTTCTCTTTCAGTAAAAATGTGTTTGCTTTCTTTTATCTTGCTTTTCACCTATCACAATATCTTCTCAAGATTTGAGATCAATTTTGCTTTCTTGTGGATCTTCTGACATTCACTTGAAACTTGAAATTATCCCATAATAGTATTACTTAACCACAAGATATAAAGACCATGTCTCACACAGGATTTACACAACAAAATAAAATCAGTGCTCTTTGAGATTTAATCTTTTCCATTACACATGATGAAAGCTATCTAAATTCCCAGGATTGCTGATTTGTTGATCCAACTTTGTAACTCATTTGGAGCCTCCAAATGCTGTATCTATCCCTAAAATGACAGGGATACATAAATTTTAGGTTTAATTCAAGTCTCAAGAGATGAAAGCAGTAAGCCAGTTGGCAACTCAAAAAAGAACTGATTTTATAAGGAAAAGTCGTCAGATAAGTCACCATGACTGTTGATGTGTTTCTGTCAGCCTTAGAGATACTCCAGAGTATCCAAAAGTCTGCTAATAATAAATATATCTAATATTACTCACTAAACAATAAGTAAACACTGAATATTATTGAATAATATTTATCTTCATATAATTTCAGGTGGGGTCTCTTACTGGAGCTACCCCTAAAATCCTACTCCTTCTAGGACTTTGTTAATACTCAAAGACCATGAAGTCAAGTAGGAACAAAATACTGTAAAATTAATTAAGATAATAAAGTAAACCTAATGTATATTAAATTGGGTTAAATATACATTTAAGACTGTATTATACAAGAAATAAATATGTAGAAATTACCACACTAGTGTAGTGTGTGACAATTTCTATTATTATTATTCCACTTTAGTTGACACATGATGTAATTGGCTATAAATATGCATCATGATGTCATGGGACATAGAATATAATTTTATTAGAAATATTACAACAATTCCCATTACATCATGGGATTATTTCTACTGTTGTACATTAAAAAGGAGATTCTAGAATATTCTAAGAAATGCCCCCCAAGGGATCTCTAGAATATTTAAGGAGGCCTTTCTCCTTCCTAGGATGGATTCCTCAGCATATTCACCCCCAGTACACTTAGTGAGTACAGTGAATATTCTCCAACTACTTTTAGAGTAGTCTTTTTATCCAATCCAACCCTACCTTCTTACTGGAATTACTATTAAGCTGAGAGTTATCCCAGACTCAAATCTCCACTAATTCCTTAAAAAGTAGTTGCTGCAAGACCACCACCTCTGACTGTAGCCTTTCAGCTCAGGTGCTTGCCAGCTACTTCTTGCAATATTAATTATTGCTTCCAAACACTCTACAATAACATATTCTGTTATTGTCTCCTACAGTGCTCTCTTGATTATTCAAGTGTCATTAACTGAGGAGTGTGGACTTTTTAACCTCTTAAGTGGGAAGTTTGGACCACTTAATATTTTGAGGGTGACTAGGAGTAATCTTGGTCTTTAACCTGAGTCCTTCAGCACAGTGATAGTACTTGGCTCTTATATTATTAAGCCAAAGTTTCATACACATAGCTGACAGTTTCAGACTTTATTGACATCATTTTTAGTATTCATTTATAATAAGTGGCAAGAGAATGACATGCTTTCCAGAAAAAAAATCCTGATATGCTAGGATATGGGCTGTTCATGTTTCATCAAAAACAAACTTCAGGTTACTATACCAACCCATCTGACAAAATCACGGTGCCCCAGCTTTTCATCACATCCATCTTAACAGTCACACATCTTCTACTCCATCTCCCTTTCTGCTTCCATGAAACACTGGATAGCTGTTACTCAGGATCTTGCTGGTGGAATTCACCTTCACAAATGGGAAGATGTTGCCCTAGTGGGAAAACATGTGATAGCACATCAATGTGATGAGGGGTAACAATAATGAACCAACTTTTATTCCAATGTAGTCAGATTTTTAGTAGAAGTCTCAGAGAAAAAGCGAGGGGAATGAAGTTCGGAGTGTGAAAAAACGAAATGATTGTAGCACCGCACAAAGAAGGACAAGCACAACACGGTTGAGAAGATGAGAAGTAAAGAAAAAAAGTGATTGGAGCAGCTAGCAGCTTCATGAAGAAATCGAAGATGGAAAACAAGGATATACAAATCGCAGGTGACCAATGAGTGAAGGAAGTATCTAATTATCTCGATTCCAAACCAGTAGAAGAAATGAGGGAGAAGTGAATGAAGCTGTCTAACTGGTGATGTCTGAGCTCTCCAACAGGTTGGATGAGTCTGTTGAATCGACGAGGATGACCGGGTCATTTGGGCATGGGAGTGGAAGGATTGGTGCGTCTGGTAGTCAGAATATGGCTTGGTTGGAAGTTTGGAGGTTTTGTTTGAGAGTTCCATCGGGCTGGGAGGAATTGTTTTCGTCGGTCTTCGTCAGTTGAGTCCGAAGGATAGGTTGATTTTGTCTGATTAATTCGCGCTCCTCGCTCGTGTAAGTAAAGAAATCCGGCAAAAGCAGTCCGTCCAAACGGTCGATTCCATCGTAGGTATCCTCCGCATCGTTATCCAGAGACGACCGAGTGGAGAAGGTGGTTGAATCCGCGGAGCTCTCGTAGCCTTTGATCTGATCCGAGTGTTCAAATTCGAAGGCAGTTGAATAGCTGTCTTCAATGACCACCACGATGTTTGATTTGGTGCGTTCGAATTTCGAACGGGTACTCGAGACGAATTGGGATGGTACGTTGACGATTTCGAAAAAGGTGGCGATTGAGCTTGAGCCGGATATGTCACTACTGCTACGGCGAGTCCTACTATGAGTCCTACGTTCGACCGGGGAGGCTTCATCCATCCATTGGGTCATCGCGTTGGCAGAGTTTATCGTGTCGCTCTTTTGGTTGTTAGGTTTTTGGTTGAGTACCGACATTATTTCGTGGCTATGAAAATATGGGTGCACTGGGTAAGAGTAGCTTATAAGAGCTCCCGCCTGGGTATTTTAGTTATAAAAAGAGGAGTGATTGAGGGGGAGGAAAAGCAGTTAATAGGACGATAGATGACAGGTATCAAGTAAATGAAGCGAAAGGATTCGAGACGATGATGTATGTAAGAGTAAATCTGAAAAGTGAGTATCCTGACGAGAATCCAAGGGAAGTGGAGCAGAAACAAGCGGCTTAAATAAGGGGCACAGAAGGTGGTGGGTGAGTGAATGTGAAGAGATGGCGGTAAAAATCAGCTGATCTGTCTGGGTGTGCTTTTTTGCCCGTTCGTCTGACTTGGAGCACAATTCTTGGCTGGTTTTTGGTAGATTTAAATGAAATGAAGCTCAAGTGCCAAGTGGGCAGGTTGGGAACGGACAGTAGGAAGATGGCAGGGTGGACCAGAAAGTTGTATGCTGACCGGGTTTAAATGAGACCTTCCATCGAGGGCGTGCTTGGCTATCAAGTGCAGAAACTTGAGCTACCCTGGTGCTCTCATGCCCGGATGATGGTAGCTTACCCACCATCGCTTGGTTGGGTTGCTCACAATGCTATTGATCGATCATCTTATCCGTTTTGAGGTATTGCCATGGATGGTCAATCATAGATCCCACCGGTTCACATCTTACTCTGCTAAGTTGCCCATGGGTAGCAAGTTTCAGGCCAAGGAATCTCTGCAACTGCAAGTACTTGCATAATTTGAAGTAAAAAGGTCATTCTGGCTTTCGGGGTTTGCTCAACCCCCCCATCACAACACTTGAATCATGAATTTTGGGACCTGCAAGCTTTGGTGACTGAATGCTCAAGAAAAGTGGAACATGAGATTTAAAAAACAAACATTAGCGGATGGCGCCAGTGAGCAGGCTGTCAGGGCTGTTCCATGATCCATACCGACCGGCCGGCCGATGATCACCGAGCAAGCCGTGCGGTGAGCTCTGTACTCAAGAAGAAGGGCTGGACAAATGCTGTGTTGGTGAGCGGGTTGCTGTGGCAGTCTGGTGACTCTCACGTGACATGTCTTGCCCAAATTCAGCCCTTCGGTCCTCTTCGGCCTCTGCATCGGACATCCCCTCCGGCAGTTCTCCACACGACGGAATCGACGGATATCGCCGTCCATTGCAAGCTTGTTGATAGATTTGTATGTACATATCCTCCATATCTTCCAGAGATCCCTCAGAAATCATTGGGCCACTTTCCATCGGGCCTGAAAGTTTTCTCTGTGGGTTGCTGTTTGATCACCAGGCAACGATAGGAGCGCGGAAAGCATTTCATATTCTTCTTCTCTCGCCGCTTCGACCCCGGTGAAACTTTTTTGAGAATACCCTTCCACCTAAAAAGTCAGCTTATCATAGTAGCCAGCCAAGTCACATCTCGAACTGCGCACAGGTTCCATTCACTTCTTTCCTCTTGCGCCATTGTTTCTGTCGCCAAAGAAGAACCCAAACTGACATTCTATAGCCCCGAACTGTTACGGACTGCTATCGTCGTGTTGTGATAAATATTGATACCATACCTGGGAAAGGCTACCGCGATGATGAACCAAGATTACGCAAGAGGTTCATTCTTTCACTCTTTCTTTTCGCTTTCCTTCGGAGCTTGTTGCAGTTTAGACTCAGGGCAAGCGTCATGACTTTCCGTCTTCTGTCCCCCCAAAACATCTGTGTTTGTCCCTCCAGAGCGATCTCGATCACCCTTCCGGCCCGGTAGTGCTTACAGTCATCATAGTCATCACAGCCGCAGTTCATCACCGGCACTCGGTTTGTTTCAGATTCATCTAATAATTCTCTTCAAAAATTTCAAACTCAACTCAATTCTTGCTTTCTTCACTTCCCTGTCCTAAAGCTGGGGCATGGAGGAACGAAGCATTGTCTCCTGCAAACAGCTATGTTGATGATTATTATAACCCAAACGCCTACGATCATGATCTCTATAGAAACTACTATGGGGTTGAAGATGGTCAGTTTTTCCTTCCCTTTCTTGGCGGCATTACTCGCACAGAAGCTCTGGTCATACTCATATATATTCTGCTTCAACCTATAGATTACTACGGCGCCTATGGAGATCTCTTAGACTACGAGGTAATGATTCGTATCAACATTCATGTTCCTTCATCATCCGAGTCCAAGCGATACAAAATGCCTGACGTAGGTCTGTGATGATCACAGGAAAATCTACGATTGGCGGCTGATTTGGATGAAACCGAACGATTGAGACGGTGGCGAGATCGATTGGCTTTCGAAGAATTAGCCGAATCGGAAAGGTTGAGAAGATATGAACTGATGGCCGAGGTGAGTTGATCTTCCTAACACCAGATCTTGATCACTCGACAGACGAGAAAAGAAAAAAAAACATCACCACATGCGATTTCGGCCCATTAATGATCACGGGTTCAATTTATACAGGAAGAGAGACTTCGATTGGGATTGATCGGTAGCTCTTGGTGGGCTCGACGCTATGGACATCATCACTCTCACAACGGCCGTCACACGCCTTCGCTCACTGGAGGTTGGAAGAATTACTATGGGAACCGGTTGAGAAGATGGAGCTCGAAGCGGATGCCATTGTCATCGCCATTGGCCTCCCGATTTGAAAGGATCTGGTACAATCCGAATTCCTCCCGTCGCAGACTTTCGAATGCAGCAGTCATGAACTCGAAATTGGAGCTGTTGAATCAAGAGCAGATGAGATTATCGAACGAATTGATCCGGATCAGAGAGGAGACTAGAATGAGAGAGATGGAGATCCAAAGAGAGCAAAACCGGATCGAGCAAGAGATCTTATTGGAGAGAGAACGAATCAAGGAAAATTTATATAGGGTCCAGAAAGCTCAACAGGAGCAGGTTGAAAGAGAAATCATAGAGAGGAATCGTGTGGAGCAGGAAATGTATCGTGAATCTCTACGCAACTTGGAGAACCAACGCCAAATGGTCGATATCGAACGCCAACGAATCCAAAACCAACATTTGAGAAACCAGGTTGTTTCTGATCTCCAATCCCAGGAGCAGGAGTTACGCCTACGAAGAGAGCTCGAACTAGCGGGTAGTGGTCTCTACAAATATTAGTACTTCAAGCTTCTTGTTTCCTTGGATGTGGAAACTTAACTTCTCCTCTTCAGCCTTTATTTATCCCGCGTGTTCTATTTTTTTTTCCTCTCATTCATCCTACTTCTTTGATTTCTCAAGAGCGCAATCCGAGAGCACGATCTTGAACACCAACCAAATATCAAATATAAAACAAATATAAAATAACAAAAGCCATACCTCAATAAGAAACCACCAAGTACAACTGTCCATTTGTGATTCGATTTCCTGTCCGTTTCTGTGGTTTTATCAAAGACTAATCAAAATAGCGAAAACCCATCCAGCTTCCAAAATCAGTTCCAAGAAAAAAACCTCTTAAAAACACGCAAGCCTGATGACTGTGTTGAGTTGCTTGTATAATTCTCGAAGAAAGTCATTTCGCATGTTTTGTTGACTCGATTCATTCATACGTTTCTTCATCATTGTTTGTGTGTAGTTATGTACAACAAATCATCAACACAAGGTTGCCCAAGTGGAAATTTACTTATCTCAACAGCAATCCCATAACAATCAAATTTATTCAATCAATGATGCCTTACAGCAATCGTGTTGCGCAGCCGGAACGTCCTAATTTTGATTTTACATACAGCCAAACCGAGAAAGCTTGCGTCTCGGTTGGCAGAAGATTCAGAAAAAAAAAAAAAAATCCCGACTGCAGTCGGAATCTTTGGAAGAATACAGCCATCATACAGCTTCCAACATACCTGCCGGTAGCGGCGACAGGACCGCACCGGACCCAACCAGCCAGCCCGAGGGGGGCAGGGGCATGGGTGGCCTTCATGTCAATGGGCCGGTTTGACTAAACATTCCCTCAGGATCCCGATGGTCTTACTCTCATGACCTGGAACTGAGGGAGAAAAAAGATAGGGATTTTACCCTGAAGTAACCCTGTATGCAAATGGGCATACAGGGTGCTGTATTCTTCCAAAAATTCCGACTGCAGTCGGTTTTTTTTTTTTTTTTTTTGAATCTTCCGCCAACCGAGACGCAAGCTTTCTCGGTTTGGCTGTACCTTTGCAATTTGGGATGTCATCTTGGGGCAAGTCTAGTGGGCACAAGATGCTATTGGCCGGCCCGGGTCGACTTAGGTTGGCTCACTTCTCGGGGGCAGCCCCAAGCTGCCAGTGTGGTTGTGAAGCGGTGAGGATTTTCCCCACAGGTGTGTCACATTCGCTCAAATTTGTTCCACTTGTACTCCAAAGGGGGTTTTTGTTTTTCGAATGGCATGCTTATGCAGAGCCATTGGATAGTCTCGTTCATTGTGAACGGCAGATTAATCTACATGACAACGTCGGGAGTCACTTTCTATGTGCGTGCAAAACTCCTACAACCGAAGAGTTGGAATACAAAGTACAAATGAGGAACAAAAGATGGCCGACAATATACTCTAGGAGGAGAATCGGAATAGATAGACGCATCGAAAGGAGTTGAAGAGAAAACAAACATCAGTTATCCCGTGTCAATCAAAATATAGGAAAGGGTGAGGGGATGGATTGGGTTCTCAGTCTGACGTGCAAACGAATTAAGTGTGCGTTCATATGCAAAGCATCACTAGTCTAACATGCTAATATCGGTTTGTTTTAACATCATTGGGCTGCCTATAAATGAAGGCAGAGGCGGGTTGGGGAGATGGGATGTGTGGCAGATGGATTTGATTAATGATCAAGCAAAGGGGGACAACTTACAACAACCTGGAACCAGCCAATCCCGCTATGAGAACTCCATCGCAGTTCACGACTACGTTTTGCCGAAGAGAGAAGACACGGATGAGAAACAAGTCAGCATTCATTCAGGTTCTAAAATGTTTGATTCGAAGCGAGAAGGAATGATTGAGATGCTATGAAGATCAGACACGAAGTTAGATTCAACTGACAGCACCCAATGTGATTGGGGCTATTGAGAAAGCCATTGCATGTCATTGTAATGTTTATTTTCATTTTTCATCGTTTCGATTCGTGAGGCAACCAGGTGATAGAAAGCCTTGAAAGATACTCACCTTGTGTAGCCGAGTCCTAAATTTTCGAACCACAGACACACCGGCCGCATGTCGGGGGGGCTGCCGAGTGGTGCGGATTGAGGCTAGTCTTATATGAGTTTTCAAACCGCCTGCTGACTTGTGGGATGCGCGCGCAGCAAAGTTAGACACGTATACGCATCCGTCGCGCCAGCGCACGCGTGTGCTTCATCAAGAGGGCTCTGGCTTACATCAGCCAGATGTCCATCTGACCCCCTTGACGTCATGATTGAAGATCCTATTCACTCTGACGGTTGAGGTTCTTGGCCATACCTAAACATCGAGGAGCTGCCGGGTATAGAAATCAAAGCCATCCAGTCAGTACATACATCACAGTAAGTCCGTCCAACCACGCCTAACTTGCGGCCCAAATTTTTATCTTTCGCTGCTAAGAGTGTGTGAAAGCTAATATGTAGATTGTGTTACATTAGGCAACGTCTTATGATGATTCAAACAAAGGGTATTTCAAAACTATTGAACGTAGGCCACTCGGGATTCGTGCTTCGTTCGACAGGCAATCAACTTCTTTCAACCTCCGCAAATCCTACTCGAGGGCCATCTCGTCCTAGCAAAGAAACTTCGGAACAAGCGGTTGGTGGGACGACGGATGATATCGCCCATAGCAAAGGTGCATTTGACTCGGACGAAGCAAATCCAGAGAAAAGTGCATCCAAAATTTCTGCTGTAAGTTTGATTTGTTTTCGCATCTGGGTTGCTGAAGCAGGTGTAGAACTCGAGCGCCGAAGATGGGTGGTTTAAACTGATTTCTTGACGACTGAACTTACTCAACTTTGACGATTCCACTAGGGCGGGATAAGCATGGAGCAATCGGCTGCCAACGAGGCATCCTCGCTTTCATCTCAAAAGACGCCTGTGAAGAAAAAAGCGCCAAACACACAGAAGTAACGAGATCATCGAGCGCGCCCCTCGATTCGCTGACCATCATTCAACTGCGTCGGAAGGCCGAGCTTCCGATTCTAACTCAGATGCTAGCATATAACACAATCAGCCTGGTAGTTTCGCCATCCTAAACAAGACACAAAACATCTGTAGCAAACAGCTGGTGTAGTTTTTATTTTTTATAGCAAATTTGTAGCAAGCGAGGTGATTTATTTGCCAGCACTGTATTTCCCCCAGTTCAGAAAAATCAAGCTTGAACTTGATATGAAGTTGCACAATTTTTTATTGTAAAAACAAATTATTTCCTCAATCAAATCCAACATTTCAGCGTAATAGTCGACATGAATATCTTCCAGACCAGTAGCATACGTACTTGTTGGGAAAAAAGGACACATCAGGTCATCAATTCACTGGAAATATCTAGACAAAGCCGGCCAAACTTACCGATTCACAGTCAGCAACTAGCAAATCAAACATCCAATTCTCTCTGGTTTCCCGACTTTTCGAGTTTTCTTCTTCAACATGTGTCTGAGTATTGATTCTTCTACGCTATCTGAGAGTCTTGAATCAGACAGAGGTACTGAAACGTAAAACAAAAGCCGTAGGGACGTCCCAAAAAATGGTCAAATAAAATGTATACCACCTGGGCAGGGGAGATTTTCGTGCATGCCTTGTTTCAAATAATGGTGATTAAAATTTAAGATGCTCAGTATGGTCTCCCCAAACCTTTACACAGGTTTGGGACGACGACTGCTTCTTTCTTTTTTTTTCAATCCTCCTTGCGACTCCCTCTGCTTTGGTTTTGGGAAAATCGCTACCAATCATTAAACCCTATCTCCGAATAATTCGCTTCCAGGGTTGTAGATTGTTAAGGAGAAAAGAAAACTCTTCCTGGGGCCCCTGCAGACGTCACCAAGTTCATTCACGTTGCCGTTCAAAATCTGTATCCCAGTTGTAGAATTTTAACTACATACCCTTTCGATAGGTGGATGCTAACAAGAGCATTTCTTTAAAACGGAGGTTCCCTATTTCTTAGAACCGACTAACCCATGTCCAACTGCTGTTACCATGGAACCCTTCCCCACTTCAGTCTTCAAGGTTCTCACTTGAATATTTGCTACTTCCACCAAGATCTGCACTAGAGGCTGTTCCACCCAGCAAAAATAAGTTTCTCGAATATTTATCAGACCTCGAAAAAGGGCACTTTTTTTGGAGGGGGGGGGGGGTCGACTATAAAAGGAGGCCGCTTCGGGCACTTCTCCAGAACCCTTAGTTTTCTGAATCCTCAGACGACACTGCGTAAACTTGCCGAAGTTCGACATCAACGACAGCCAGCGCCCTATCAAGTAAGCCCTCCTCTATTCTTTCAGTCCTCTTTCCTTTCCCCCCCCTAAAAAAAGCAGAATGATGTCGGCTCGCAAGTTGCGAGGAATCAGCCATATTGGAAGAACCTACCTTTTTCTAATCTCTTGCTCGATGAAAGAGATTGAAAAAGTGCAGCATTTGCCGCGTTGCTTCTGACGGCAGAAAATCGTGTTGACCAGAGGCCCTCGCAGTCTGCGCGAGCTTCTAGAAGTCGAGTTTCCTGAACATTGTGTCAGACCTCGAGAGTCAGGGAGTTTTTTCCGGTGGGGGGGTCCCTGAGACTATAAAAGGAGGCCGATTCGGGCACCCCTCCAGGACCCTCAGTTTTCTGAATTTTCAAACGACACTGCGTCAACTATCTATCCAAAGTTTGACCCAACCCGCAACCAGCACCCTACCATGTTAGGACTGTTCCTTTTTCCAGTCAATTTCCCTTTTCCTCAAAAGTGCTACTGCTCGCAAGTTGCGAGCCATCCATCATGGGAGAAGCTGCACTTTCTTCACTCTCTCTCAGCTGGACGCGAGAAATTGAAAAAGTGCAGTTCCTACCGTGTTCTTTCTAATGGCAGAAAACAGCATTTGTCAGAGGCTCTCACAGCCTGTGAGAGCTTCGAGTATTTGAAAAAAATGCAGTTTCTTAGATATCGATTCAAACTCCGAAAAGAGAAAATTATTTTTCTGGGAGGAAATGTGGATGTCCCCTCAATTGAATTTCAACAACACGACTTCATTTTTCCCTTATCTGATCTGGAGTTGATGTATTCGGGCCTAAATATTTCCTGACGTCTTGAGTTTTCTTTGTTTCCAGTCGATTAGATCCCATCTGTTCATATCAGATCCCAAATTTTCAACGCCAGCTCTCCCAAAACAAACACGAACAAAATGTCGCCAATCACCGGAGTCGAAACCTCAGTCGCATCTGGCACTCCTGCCACAAACTTACAAGTAAGTTCCGGTCCTCGCAATCTTGAGCTCAGCTGAGCAGCTCCAGTTGAAATCTATTTGAATAAATATCAGAGTCCCTCGGCCAGGGCCGTTGAAGAGATGGATGCAAGGCACTTGAAGACTAAGGGGCCTGCTCCTCAAGGGAATTCCACCGGGTTAACTAAATCCGAGGAGAACGTATGTACTCTTGCCTCATGAATCCATGTCGTTTCTTTATTGCTGAAAGTTAATTCGTATTGTGTTATGAATGGTGAAATTTAGGCTAACCTCGGTATTGCTGATTGCAATGCTGCCTTGGAACATGGGTTGTGCATTTCCACTGGCCAAGCTGGAGTGATTTGGAAGACTGATCAAGTGATTAAATTGATATCCATTGATTTCAGAATTATGTATTTAATCTAATCATTTCTTCTTCCCTCTATGGTATTTTTTTTTGTTTCTCCTCAGGCAAAAGTTGCTCCAGATGAGGCTGTTCAACAAGGAAAAGAATCCTTGGCCCCACCATCTAGTGTAAGAGATTATATTTCTCGAATTAATTTTATATATCCTGTTCCTAATCAACTGTTCATGATATGTATTTTAGGGCATGACTAAATTGACTAGGGATGATGGACCTACTGGAGACAATCCAGACCCTGGTGCAGTGAGAACTTTTTCTTTATTTCATTCTTATTTAAGAATCAGTAAATTTATCTAACCAAAGGTCTTCCAATACTGGATCCCTTTGAAGTCTTTTATTTCTGCACAGGCTTCCTTGAAGTCTCACTCAGACATGGATATTGATAATTGTGAAGATGTGGCTGATGGAGCTGGCCCAAAGGATGACTTTCAGGATGTATGTTTAACATTTTGCTTTTTTTCAATTCACATGAGTTCTAATCTTGTGTCCCCATCTCAGCCTTCTGGTGATAAAAAAACTGGAAAAGACTCTGATTTTAGGAAGGAGCATCAAAAAACTGTTGCTTCTGCGGGGGCTCATCTTGCGTCCTCTGGAGTGTCTACTCTTAACCCAGAGACTCTCAAATTCAATAAGCTTCCAAGTATGTTTTTTTTTCTTTTATTGTTTGTGCGTCTGATGGCTTATCTCTCTGAAATATGACTTCTTTTTTTAGGTGATTCATCCCAATCCAGCTCAGAACCAGCTGCCAAAAAGCCCAGAACTGAAAAATGTATGTGTTTTTAGATCATTTCCTTAATCTAATTATTCTTTGATGAATTGGGTTTTTAAATGTCTTGGAATTTCAAATTTTCACTCTTAGATTCAAGAGAGCTGTTCCAATCTGCTCAGGCACCCACTTCCAGTCAATCTGGATTACCAATTCAAGACTCACAAGCATCATTGGGTCCTCTGCATTCTATTCCAGTGAAAATTGAATCTCACAAAAAGTCTCCATCTGAGACTAATTCCAAGGCCCCGACTGAACCAACAACAACACCAGCCCCATCTGCTAGTGAATTGAATGAAAATTACAAAGTGGAGGAGAAGAGTTTGAAAGTGCCGGAGATGTTTCAGAAGGCAATCTCTTATGAAGGTTTGAATAAATCTCTTTTATGTCCTTTATTATTGCAGATTTTATTGACATAAATCTCTATCATTCTTCTTAGTTCTTTTCAGAAACCCCAATAATATGCTTGCACAGCTTGACAAGCTTCAAATGAAGACTGTACATCTTCTCCTCAAAGATTCTGGCTTTTATATCAGCAAGGAAATTCATGATTTTATGATTCAAATTATTGGCTGGAATGTCAACAATTACCTCAACCACGGTGGCTATAAAATTAATAGCTTCAAAATCCAAAATGCATCTGCAAATTTGGATGAGATAAACCAGTCTGTGAATAATAAAGGATTCTCATCCGTAATCAGATCATGTACGTATTTTATCCTCACAATTTGATTTCTTATGCAATCAGATTCTAACAACACTTTCTTCATCTGACTTACTGCCCCCAAAAAAGGTCCAAGGCTTCTTCAGTTGGATGGCGGGGATCCATTCTTTAAGAAAGATGTGGTTAACTTTGACAACATTGCAAAGTTGGGAATATTTAAGGACGAGAGGAACACGGACGGTTCATGGAAATGTCTCATTGGTCTAATGATTCGTTCTTCCACAAGCACCAATGAGATCTATCACGACAAGGAGACTGGATTCAAATTAGCAGTTAACTGCATCCGCTCTCTACTTTGGCATTGCTTGAATCCCATAGACACCAACACCTGCATCCAACCAGAAACCCAGACCACCTCTTCTCAAAATGGAATTGAAGAAGCCCTCAAGTTTGTGATTTTAAAGTGCCGTGAATTTTCTTCAAAATTCAGCTCGACCCCAGCAATCAAAGGAAACGGACTTCATTTCCTCAAAAAGCGCATTTGGGAGACTCTGACGTCAATCCTCCTCACACATTGCTCTGCAAATTCTCCTCATTGTGAAAGATACTGGACAAGACAAAACAATGGAAATCAAAGAAAGAATTCCATGAAGAAGGAAGTTGAGCTCAAAGACCTCTACAGGAAGATTGGATTGGACGTCACCACAGAAAATTGGGGAAGGAAACGTCAGGCGGCTCTTGGTTCTGCTTCTATCTTCTTGGCTTTTGGACCTGTTGGTTGGTGGACCGGTTTCACCAACACCAACAATTATAACCTCAAGAGTGTTTATGGCCTAATCAACCTTGCACGCCACAAGCACACCTACCTCAAAAAGAATCCCTCAAGGTGTAACAATTCCAACCCTTTCAACTCAAATCATCCCTGGTCAAACGTTCAAGCTCTTGTCTACTCTTGCCTTGAAGACCTCAAATACCATCTGGATAAATCTGAACAAGAAAAGGACATTGACTGGGAAAATGTTATGGAGGTCTGGGGTAGAAAATTGTCTGAGGAGTAAGTCACTTACATTCTTTTTTTATGTGAAGAATCTCATTTTTGACTTCTGATGCTCCTCTCCCCCCATCATTGAACCAGGGCAATCTCACAGGCAGCACTGATTGATATTATCTCTGAGATTTCTTTCCCTGGGAAGTCTTTGTCTTGGGAGGGTGTGGAGGCTAAAAGTATTGTGCTCCACAACAATAATTTCACAGAAGACCTACGCCACAAATGGAAAGAATTCATGCGCCTGGGTATGGAGCTCTCTCCAATTGAGACACCTGAAGAGGATGCAGCTAAAGAAACATCTACCAAAACTTAGATTTTCTTGATATCTCCAAATACTCAAGATATGAATCTTTATTGTTTTTTGTCTTCTTTCTTCATTTTTTACTTTGAGATATTCTTTCCTTTCTCCTTTTCCTCTCCTTCTTTTTTTTCTTGTTTTATAATTCATTTCCTTTCTTTTTTTTTACCAAAGTCTACAGATTAATTCAACTGAATGTACTGTCTTTTGAGGTCATAAAATTCAAACTCCACTCCCATCTTCTTTTCAACCTTCCTATCAGACTCACATGAATTTGACACTATCTCACTAAATCAAGTTCAAATCTTGTTTGTTTTGACATTCCCCATTGCATCAATACAGAAATGAACCTTCACTTTCAATTTTCCTCATAATTCCAACACTGGGCCAGCTATGCTAAACGTAGTGTTATTCTAGCGTAGTGTAGCAAGAATACACTACATTTTAGTTTAGTGTTAGCGCAGATATGCCAAGCTGCGCTAACACTCCACCCACAGGGCACAACATTGCACTAACTGTTAGCATAGCATTAGTGTGATTGCACATGTCTGCGCTACGCTACACACATAAGGTACAAAAAGGATCTCGCTATGCTGCGCTACAGCACTTTTTTTGTCTTTTTTGCCACAAAAAGCGCTGTGGCAGTGCGCTAAGGCTACACAGAAAAAAACCACTGTTAGGTAGCGGAGCTAGAGGCATTCTAAAACTACACAAAAATTGGCCACATCTAGTGCCTCTAGGCTAATGCTAAGTGGCCCTGTAGTGTAGCAGCCCAGTGGTGACAATTCCCAAGTGCTCTGTTGAGGCATGTTGTTAAGTAAAGCAAAAACTGGAAATTGACCTGATCAATAAGAATTTTATTCCTAGCTTGATAGGGTAGACACCAGTATGAATCCAAAAAAAGAAGAATTTGAATGATCATTCAGTATCATAAATACTAGATACTAAGGCATTTTCACCACTGTACTATGAGGTTTTTTACACCAATGTATCATTTTCAATCAAAAATTGACACCAAATAAATATGAAAATATTCTTGATTCCAACCTCCTCATCTAAAATGTATCAGTTTTAAAAATCAGATTATCTATGAAAGACATGGTTTAACCTGGTTTGTATTTGGATTCAGCCCTCCTTAAATAATACTGTTATAAATTGTGTCAATTTGATCTAAAAGAGTATTCATTGCTTTTTTCCATCATATGCTGCACAGGATTTAATACTAACTCTTTCAGCCTGTTTTCCTTTGGCTGAACACCATAATAAATGTCAATGTAATTTAATTGAGCCAGCTGCCTTTCAAAAACAGAACAATATTCCTTGCTATTACAATTCAAGACTCAACTGGACAGGATTCGGGCTCTGTTTGGAAGCAATATATTCCAAATTCATGTGACATCTGATGAGGTTTTTGTTTCAGTTGAGGTCTAGATTACTGTCACAACATTCAAACAGGAGGCCATGAATATTTCAAAAAAAAGTTTTTGTATCACCCAGCCCCTTTTGCATGATTAAATTTGATAACAAAAAGAAGTATTTTCACAATAAAGAAAATTGACATGTTTCTTTTTGTACACTCTTTCAGCCAGCAGGCCATTTGTCACTGATCAAGAATCTGGGTCTTCACTATTCAAAGAAATGCTAATGATGAGTATTATTGAAGAAAAAAAATGGGAACTGTAGCACTTCTTGCAAGATTTTTTGTCACTAGGTTAAGTTCAGTGTCCAGTGGCTAACCACTTTTTTCATTGCACCAAATGGTGGGACTTACAGGCTATGTCAACCCTTCAGCCTGAGAGAATTGAGGATTTTGGTTGGCTTTTTTTCAACAATCACTGACACTCATTGATCCTTGATTTTTGTTGACGTGGACCAGGCTGGGAGCTGAAAGTCACAGTCATGAGTCTTGTGACAGTTGACTGAACACAAAGATAAATGATGTTTAGATTCAGTGAGGAAGAGTCAGAAGATCGAAGCCGGGCCATTCACTAAATACACATGAGTTTTGGTATAAGCATACTACTAGCTATAAGCATTCTAACAATTTTTTCCCTTGTGTTTTCATTTACATGACAGCCCAAATTATGCCCATCTTGGTAATTTCCTCCTGATACCTTAAATCATTACTTTGATCTACAATCATCCTTTGTAATATTGTGAGTTTTGGTTTCTGTCTTGTCCAAGTTGTGAGATACAGGAGGAAGCAGACCTGAATGAGTCACAAAAAAGGATGTTGAGTGCTGCTCAAGGGCCCAACAACTCAAGCAAGATATGGGAAGGTTCTCCCACATCTTGAACACATCCCCCTCACCCCCCGACCTTAGCCACCAAATAGAGGGACTTGGCTAAGTTAGGCTGGAATCCCTGCCAATTCACATGCATAAATAGCAGTGTACAATTTGATTGGTTAACAAAAAACTATAATAAACTACAATATTTTGAACCAAATACATAGGATACCAATTTATATCTTCAATGTCTTACTCCTATTGGAAAAAATTATTGAGAAATTGATACTTTTTGATAACTCACAATGCAATACCAGCTGGAATGTCAAAGATTAGCCTGTATTGGATGCCACCAAGGGCCTTTCCCAAGCGCTCAGCTATCAGAACAATCTCTCATATTGCTCCTGTCATCCCAAACCCAATGTATTTTCTGATCATCATTCCCTTAAGGCTTGGTGTGACACTCTGAACACTCACTTTATTGTACTGTAGCTAGGGTTCCTTGGTCCCAGGTGTTAGAACAATTGAAACACCTGTCTAATTTTTTTTTTTTCAGCTCCTTCAGTTAGTCTTCTTAGGAATGACAGATTGTCAGTATTCAGGTTTTTGGACCATCAAATCACCAGAGAGACTTTTCAATCTCACTTAGTCTGACTCTAATTCAACTGAGGTGATCCAACCAATAAACTTGTGATCATTATATTGACTGAAGAAGTGAAAACAGTCAATGTATGATGGACCAGGTTTTCTTTGTCAAAGGTTGTGTGCAAATTTTGATAAACTGGCTTCCAAGTTAAGTTCCTCATCATCAGGTTTTGAGCATTGATGAAGCTCTTTTATTGGAACTCCTGGTTTATCAATTCATGATTAGGTTGGTTTTGTGAGAATTTTGATTGTTACAAGTGGATGCCTTTGCTTAGGATGACTGTTTGCAACAACTCATGAGCACTTCCATGCAGATACTTTACTTTTGTGCAGCAAGATGTGGCAAAAGTAGGCAAATTCTTGCAAAGCAAAACTTGTGAGCGACGAAAAGCAGTTGAGATTTTGTCATCTTCCATCTGAATGCTCCACGGCGCAGTCCACAGAAGCCTCAAGCTCAAACTGGTTTGAAGCCCACGCGTCCTTGAATCTTTTTTGTGTTGCGGTTAACTCTTTTTACCCGCGCGATTCACATTTTGCTTGATTTGCACCTGACGGTCTTCCTAAACTCAAACAACCAATCCCAACGTTCTAGAATTATACCCCGAAACAGCAAACGGAGTGATGTTCTCTTCGATTCCTCTACTTAAGGAGCGCCTAGCATGTATCAATCCATTCAGCCGCTTCCACGTGTTTTTACAACTCGAGAAACGAAGTTCAAAAATAGTTGGGAAGTATGTCTCATTCAATTTCCATGTAGAATCTAAAGTCAACAAGCTCTAATTGTTTATAATAACAACTCATGAGTCAGAGGGACGTGGAAGCAGAATATGTGAGCTGTGGCTTATTCGGGCAAAAATGATGAATCCTGAAAGGAACTCAATCAGCCTGAGGGGAAAGTCAATCTTACCCTCCTGCGGGCCTTATCGAAAGCATTTCGGATCCGCAATGGTGCTAGATACTTACAAGGGCTGTGCGTGCGGGGCGTCGAATCCTTGAGTTTTGGACTGCCTCGCAAGAAACGGCTTTACTTGAGGATCCCCCGTACGGAAGTCACATTGAAGTCCATCCGCACATACCGACATGTCGCTCTATACAAGCTTACCGCAGAAAGTGAAGGGGAGACGAGTTCGAGAAATACACCTCTCAAAACTTGTTTGGAGGGCTCAGTGAGATTTCGCGCTTGGTGGGCCGGTAGCGTGTGGAATACGTATTAAGCTTTAAAGACTTGAAACATCGTGAAGCTCCCTATGCTTGATCAAGTCGAGACAGATGGCTGTCAGTGGAACATGATTGTACATACCGTCAGTCTGACTGAGTCCATCCAAAGCTGACTATTGATAGAGTACCCACACACTTTACAGCAGCCCTTAGATAAAAAAAACCAGGCTGAGGAACATATTACTCCACTCCACCCTCTTTCCTGGGCACTTTCGAAGTGGTGACTGCATATTCCTATTGTTTTGATTCTACTTGCCAGAAGAGCCTGCCCCCCCACATCCCCTCGAATCTTTCCCCAAAATGGTTATCCCTAATGTCAATGACGGGGACCTCAAGTTTCCACCTCGTACATACCAATCACTTGAAGAGATCAATCCAAACATCGAATTTCTGAGTCGCCCTCAGCGCCCTGGATTCCAGGGGCCACCACTGGCTCCTTCAGCTAACATCGCCGAGCCTCCAGTGATAAATTATTTTTCGACCGACGGTCTACGTCCCCTTCAACTTGTCAAACCTGATTATCGATCTACGATTCTGGACGATTGGACATGGGAGGCATTCTCAATCGGTGTTGGCGCAGGAGCTGTAAGTCGCTCTTCGCCCTATCTCATTCTCTTCATCGATGTGGCGACTCGCGGCGATTCTGAAGCGAAATGGTTGATTTTCGAATTACAGCTCCACGTCATCTTGGCTGATCTCAACCATAACAACAAAAAGCTGATTTTGTGTTTCGAAGTGTTTTTCTACTTTAGTAAGTCTCTCCAAAATCGATGTCCATCGATTTGCTGAAAGTCTACTGACATTTCCCTTTTCTCAAAGCCAATGTGATTTCGTTCTTGTGCAACATGGGAATTATGTGTAAGCATCAAGATTCCCTTCTGCTGGATTACTAACCGTGTGACCTTAAATTTACTGAGGAAACTTGCCGGTTCATTATAATCAGTGATGCAGTATATACGTGAACCACGGAAACTCAGGACTGCATTTGAAAGCGCAGAAAAAAGTCCATTTATGCTACTTGTGCCAATAAATTTGTATGTCCTTCCATTATTCTAGGCTGGCGCTCAAAGCTGAAGTGGAAAATGCTATGGAACGGGGTAATTGGATCATAGGGCAGCTGTTTGTATCGGCTCGTTCAGATATGGACTTGCATCAGGTTGGCTGGAGTGGGGTGGTGCCATTTGTTGGTTCCACTGTTACATCGTGTTACTATTCAGGTAAGTTACATCTATAGCTCACTTGAAATTCCAGAAAGAGAAAATAAAAAGATTGGCTCACTGTGATGATGTTATATGACCGCACATACGGCCTCATTCTCAATATAGCGTCCTAGCATCCCACTGTCTCGTGTGGTTTAAGATTCCGCATTTTCTTGACGAGTTGCAGCCAAACTTTTATCTACTCCCCATACCTATCCTCTTGACAGGAGTCATGGCCGTACACCTTTTGGATACCATGCCTGTAGAAAATGGACAATCTTTACATACTCTGGTGGCTGGATATCTTTTTGGAGGCTTTGGAATCGCATTAGCAATATTTTATCTGGTAGGAAGGGTCTCAAGCATCCACTGTAGCTTGGATTTCATTGCTGATTCACGAAAATCTGCTAGTTCACATATTTCTTGAGAATGATTCTCCATGGCCATGGTAACGGAGACCAGGTGGGTCAAAACAGATGTTCATCTTGAGTTGTTTTGCGAACGCTCGGCTCACAAAATAATTGGACATTACAGACAGCTGGGTCAATTCTAGTGGCGGGAATGCTAGGTGAAGAAGCATTTTCTTCTCTACTTTGCCATTGAACTTGAACTGATGCCTATTTCACTTCAGGGTTTTCTGCACATGTAATGATTGGTTTGGGGAAAAACTCTAGAGTGATGTTTGTCATCAAGTCAAGGCAAAGTATAAACCTTCTAGGATTCAAAGAATTGACTCCAATTTTGGCACGGCCTCTGTAGTTTTTCTGATTCCCGTAACATAAAACTGAACGACACCCTCGGTGAAGTTTGGTATGGTAGCGGACTCCTGACTGGTTTAATCCTGTTGGGATTAAGTTTGGCAGTGCTCTTTATGGCAGTCTCTAACTCATGGTGGAAAGCAGGTGAGTTTTTTTTTCCCCCCTTGAACTTCTTGACCACAAAAATCCTGGAAGATTCACCTGGACTTTCCCATTGTGATTTTGAAGCCCGTAACCCTCGACCAAACCTTACGCTTTGGATGATAAGGTACTTTTCGGATTGATTTTTAACCCATCTCTCTTGAACAACCAACTGACATGTCAAGCTTGGACTTGGCTACACCATTTGAAACAGCACCACGTGTTGCAGTTGGGCCATCACCAGCGCTTGTAGTTCTCTCTACGAAACCTTCGAGTCAACCTGGCTGCGAGTAATTCAAATATTTTTTGTCACCGGTGGTATCGCTTTCTATCTAGCAATACTTCCATTGATGATTATCAGATACTTCAAAAAAATCGGAAGAACCCAGACTGTTTCGCGCATTTTCCCACCCACTCGATTCGCTCCGCACAGTCCTGACCACAATCGAAATGCGGGACCACCGGAATCGTTGAATCAACATCACAAGTTCACACCAAGAACTCGTCCGAACTCCCATCTGGAGTGTCGCTCAAGCATCTCCAAGAATTCTCCACTTCGAAACTCAGTCATAAGTCAAGATACTTTATTCAAAAACTGAAACTAGTTTAATGCGTAGGCCAGCAGGAAATGATGCTTGACTCCACCTGAATCTTCTCCGTGATCTCTTGAACTCCCTGAATTATCACTTAGACTCTAGAAACACGTAATGTCTTCAAATACTGGCCGTTTAATCTGTAAAAAGAGCATTCATGAGTCGATTCGAACTTTTCTTAACTATGCATGTATATCAGCGAGTACTCCTACCAATCTAAAAAAAAAGACAAAAAAACATTAATATAGAGCTATCCGTAGGTTAAAATATAACACCGAACTCTACACATATCATTATTAATAATATTTATTTCAAACACTTTTTATTTAAATCGACTCTTCATGGTATTACTCCCAACTTAATTTGAAATATAAGATCCGTCAAAAATTTTCGCGCGAATTAGAGCTTGGAACTGGGAGATACTGAGCCTTCATTCATGTGTAGTGTTGATTTGTTTGAGCAATCAGAGATGCTTCGCAGTTTTTGGGTCTTTTTTTGAGAGGGGGGGGGGTACATTTCCTATGGATTGATAAAAGCAATATGAGCCCAGGAAAATAAAGAAGAAAATCAATTTTGTTTAATAACAAGTCGTATTGAGTCATTGACCTTCATCATACCTCGATTTTTGTTTTTAATTGAACACAAACCAATTGAGAAGCGAAGGAAAGAAATCCTGAAGCATTCTTGGATGTCCTTGAAGCAAATCGTTGTACCTAAATACCCATTTATAAAGGGTTTCCAGTCAACAAACAAACAAACAACATTGGGCTGCACATGTCTTGAAACAAATGCTCACACTGATCCTCGCAAGGTGTCCCGAATGGTTCACAGATTGTGGGTTTACGCACGCCTGTCACACAAGAATAATCCGCGTCCGACGAACGCAACCATCTCGACCAAAGGGACGGGCAACAACACGAGCCTGCAGCTGCAACATAATTCGACTTCAATCCTACTCGTGAACATGGCCGAGGACGATGGGCAGGAGACAGTCCGGACGACCGAGTCTATCAGCGAAGGACAGGATCTAATCGATCTGAAAGTTGAATTCGGGTAGGTCTCTCTTTGTTTTTTCGGTTTGTTTGCTTTTCTGATCAGTACGAGACAAACTTCTCTGAAGCTTGATCACGACACTGATAGTGTTCTTTTTAATCTGATTTTCTTTTATGGGGCAGAGGTGGACTGGAAACGCTGTTCTCTAACCAGAATTCACTGAAGATCCAGCTTCCCAAACCTCACACGATACGCCATCTAGTCTCGCTCTTATCACCCCAGGTCAGGCCTCAAAAGTCGATGTCGCTCTTCTGTTCACCTGGGCCAGAATGGGATGTCAAACCTGGAATCTTACCATTAGTCAACGATGAGGATTGGGAACTGTTGGAGCCGAGTGGAATGCACGCCTTATTGAAGCACGGCGATAACGTGATGTTTATCAGTACACTGCATGGGGGTTGATTGTTTCTCGTATATATATGTCTATTAAAAATGAATAGATTGCTCAAGCCTTTTTTTAACTGAAAGTCATATTACGGTGGAGAACTGAAATAAGATGATGAAGATGCCCCTTGCTAAATGAGGGCCAACAGCTGATCGTTGATCTCTCAGTGTGTGCGTGGCCGTTTGTTTGTTTGTAGTGCCGTGGGGCTCAATTCCCCTTTGTTTGTTCATTTTCCTTGACTGTCGCGTATTGCTCTGGTGTGAAGGTTTTCTACACAAATAGATTCATCATAAATAAGTAAACCGCAAAAAAAAAACATTGTATTAAGTTGTGAATGATTACCTGACTGAAGGCGTGTAGTTCACTTATCTCATCTTTGAGACGCTCGTTTACCAGTCGGTGTTTTGCCAGCGTGGTTTTACCGGCGAATTCTGGGGAGACAATCAAGACCTACAAGGAGTAGTGACCCAGCAAGATCTCAGTAAACAATCAGTGTTTTTCTTGAACTTTGGGGAACGCTCGAATTCGAGAAACGTACTTCATAAGACTGGCCACAACCTCCTGAGACATCGAACACTTTCCTCTCAATGGCCATAGGGAAGCATTCGATTAGTCTCTGTTCCATTGATTCCTGCGAGATGGGCATTTTCCTAGAAGCGTGGATGATGAGACGATTATAGTTCAAGGTCACTGCTGATGAGGATGTGCTGTTGAATTGCAATGGGATCTGTTTTCATCTTGGTGCTCTCTTCGGTTCGGCGAAGCTCATCGGCAAAAAGATCCATCTCAAGGGTCCGCTGCATGGTGCTTGGCGCCAGCTGCGGAGTGCGCAGTCTAGAAGGGGGCTCCCCCTGTTGATCGACGACCAGGGAAGCCTGCTGGGGAAAGCCACCTCCCCGGCCTCACCTTGGGTGAAAAATCAATCTCCATTCTCCATCGACCATGTCATCCCTGATAGCTGGTGCACTATCTCGTTTGATTGTACTACGGCCGCAGAGACTCCTGAATTCGTCGTTCTTGAGAAGATGGGCCTCGACCGAACAATCTCCCGAACCAGCTCGCCCGTACACTCCCACTTGTACTCGCGCAATCGGTCCTAATGGCGGTATCCTACTTTCACCAACAGCGGTCAAGAACCTGTTCAATTACCCTGAGTTCAAACATCAGAAACGAGCGACTCTACCTTATAAGAAATGGAGATTGGTATATATACATACTCTTCATCTTCACTGTGACTTGAATATATCGTAGTTTGCTGAGATCGTTTCCTCTGCTCGACATTTCCAGCAACGACAGCGTCGACTCAAAGATAACAAAAACAAAGTTTGATTCGATCCTGGCGTCTCATCTCCTTCCCGTCGGGTATCTCAACAAAGATGCTTCTAATCTTCACCGCTGGGTATCTTAACACAGATAGTGAAAACAAAAGCGTACATGTCGGTTACTTTTGTCGGGCTGCCATCAACATCCTTTACATCGCAACTATCTCAATCTCGACTAGATACTCCGGCCTTCTTTCCAAAGCATAATAAATCGATTCTCCGAGTTCTTGCCAGCCACCTTCAACCCGTGATCAGCAGAACATATCCTCCACAAAAACCAACCATTTCCTCCAAAGAATATACATACAACTATTAAGATTAAATCATCCAATTGTGTCAAAATCAGCTACGGCCTCAACCGGGCCTAAAGTCTTATGAAGTTCTAGATCCTTGCCCGCAAATTCTTGATTGAAATTTTGGCGGACCTGTCTTCCATCTGTTTTTCCTGCTATGTGTCGTTCGTCCTTGAGGAGTTCAATGAGTGTGGCAGCATGGGATATAATACGTTCTGATTGGTTACCTATTTACGTTGATTGCTGTTGAGTGCATACACTGCATGCTACCCCATGAGACAGATGATGTGGAAACTCCAAGATTGTGTTTTTTTTTTTTTTTTTTTTTCGATTTAGCTACATTAGCCTAGTGTCTTCAGTGTGAGATTGAACTCTCTGCCCCATTTTCACATTCAGGGGGGCTGACTTATGTCATGACATCAAACATCCAATAAGTTGTTCTATTCTGAAGAAGAACAGTAAAAAAGGATTGTCACTGTTATCATGGTTATGATTTCAGAATGAAAAAAAAAAAAATGATGATGATAACTTGAGTAAACATTTTGGATGATCTGATTGAATAAGCTCATGAGCTCAAGTAGAAATTTAAAACTTCCAAATTGAACTGTGTTAATAAATGACAAAAACATAGATGAATGGAAAACTGAATTTTATCAGGGATTATGGTATTCCTATTCTGTGGCAAAACTCAGTTTTTTAGATTTACGTATCATGTAAGTGTGTTACTGAATGGAGGAATCATTTGAACCAGTCCTGAATGTGTCAAAAATGTAACAAGCTTGTTGTAGATGATTGGACTGTTTCTTCAAAGAGCCTCATCTTGTATGTATGAATGATTGTGTGTTTTTCTTTTGGTAGATTTTGATCTTGAAGATGTATATACACTGTTCTTATTATTAAATGGAAAGGACACCTAATTCTGAGTGATTTGTTAAGTAGTGGGTTTAAAGTGATGACTTTGGAAGCTCTTTACAAGATATGTAGTGAATATAATCTGTTTCCAGATTCCACATGAGGGATGGATGGATACTGATCGTGAAGATTTGAGCATTCTACCCTGACCAAGGGGTGATGTCGATGACTATGAGTTGGTTCTGTTGAGGTGATTGAAGGCTGGATATCAGTCCTATTTCCAGTTAAGTTCTGAGTTGGTCTGGCCGATTGGATACATATTCTTGTCAAGCCATCTATTAACAGTAGACTGAGAGGGTTCGATGATTATGTAAGCCGTGAAGTGGGCCTGAGTTCCGGCCATCGAGACTTCTTCAGCCAAGGCTGGCTTCCCAGCCATCTCTTCCATTTGGCTTCAGTCGGACTCCCCTGCAACGACTGAAAGAAGCTCAAGAAGACCAGGCCGAGAATATAAAGAGACCACCTCCCCCCCCCAAACAACAACATTCCAACAATCCAAGAAACAATCAAATAATACTCTCAAACCATCATGCCTCTCATCCTCAACGAACCTCAACCACTCCAGGATCAAGACTTCCTCCACCAACCTCATCACAGCCAACTCTCATCCTCAGTCATGGCCAAGCCAACTAATCACAACCAACGTCAGTATACATACTCTCAGATCACTCCTATCAACCAACTGACCCTCATTCCTTACATATAATAACAGTCTTCACCATCCTGCCACTCAACGAACAAGCCACACTTTCCCCACTAGCCATCACTCAGCCACCCTCACCCAACCGACACCCAACCTACCTGCTCAACAACTTCCCCCATCGGCCTCACTTCTATCAGCCCGAGTCTGTCGGCGCTCAAGCCGGCTACTGTCTCTCACCCGTACCCCCCTCACTCCGCCAGTTCACCAACTCAGCACCCAAACCACTCAACCTCCACTCTTCTAGCTCATCCGGAGGAAATAGAATCCAACAGTCTACCACCACCCACGCCGGCCGTTCATCTCACTCTCTTGTCTCCTCAGCCGCACTCTCTTCATTACCATCCCTCTCAACAACTATCGCCTCCTCATCTTCATCCTCATCAACATCCCCTCTCTCATCAACTTCGCGATCCAAACCACCCACAAACACTCTCAAGCCTCAATCATCTCCTCCGCAAGAACCATCATCATCTGCTCATCATCGCTCGCCCGCCTCGATGATCATCACCAAGAAAGTCCTCCCCGTCCCTCCCAGCCTTTCCCCCCGGGTCAGACAGATCTTCATGGACAAGATCAACTCCCAGCAGGCTCAGTCGTGCGCCCAGCTCCCCCGGCGCAAGAAAAAGAAGGCCGTCGACCCCGTCGTCCCGTCCATCTGAACTTCCACTCTCTCTGTTTGCATCGCTGGTTTCGATAGTCTATCTGCTCGATAGAGATAGACTTGCTGCTTGTCTTGACTCTTTCCTTTCTCTCTCTCGTCTGCTTGTCTTCGGCGAGACCTCTTCTATCTTTATCATCCTACTCCTCTCCCGCCCAGTCGCTCTTGTTTCTGTCTTTCTTCTTCTTCTTCTTTTCTCGTTCCCAAACCTTGTTTCTTCCGGTTTCCCATCTCCATCTCCGATATCCACCATTCCCCCTCTCTAATACCGTCCCGTCCATCCGTTCCGTTCCGTTCTTTTTTCTTCGTTTTTTTTCTCTTTGAATCAAGTCGCTCGTTTCACATCGTCGCTCAATTTTTTTGTTCCGTCTTTTATATGTGTATATGTTGGTTTTTTTTTTGTATGGTCATGTACACTCTTGTCTCGTTCTAATCCCCCCATCCTGCTTTTTTTCGTTTACTTCGATCTGATCCTCATTTGTTTGTATACCTACATTTCGTGTCTTTTTCATCGCATCTTTCCTGTCATCCTTTTCATCATCAACAACAACACCACCCGATATAACTTATAAAAAAAAAAATCTGATGAATACTATGTTGCAACCAACCAAAAAAAACATTGTCTATCAAAGTTGCCACCCAATCTTCAGGAGAAGACAATGTAATTATGTATTAGGTTGCAGCACTGCAGCAGAATCTGACGTTCAGTAGGAAATCGGTGGATGTCTTCTGGTGAGCTCATATGAAGTTGACCCTGTTGACAGATGCAGGTTCCTACTATAGGCTGTGCACATGAGCAAGGTGTGAGTACTATCACTCAATGTTGGTTTGAGCCAGACATGATTTCAAGGCCTGTTTTTGTATCCATCTCCATGCCATTTATTGTCAAAAATTTCTTTCTCTTGTTCTCTTCTACATATCTTGTTGTTCTTTCTGTATCATTTTTTGAGTATTTGTATTTCCACATGCCACTCTTTTTTTTTTTTTTTTTTTTTTTTTTGGAAAAAAGGTGGGAAATTCTCAATTTTGCAGACATTGATCACAAACTGATCTGCTTATGCTGGGATTGATTGGCACTTAATCGAGCTTCTCTCTGTGCCACAAAACTTGGAAATCGATGGGCATCATCATCATGTCCTTCATTGTCTATCATTTTTTGGACTAGACTCACACAACTTTTTCACAATACATAAAAGATATATATATACTATATAGGAAAATCAAGAATATGACCCCCACAATTGCTGGAAATCATTACATGCAGTATTACTCTCTTGAGTCCCGGGACTTACAAGGAGACCTCACTCAAACCAGTTTGCATTTTTTTGTGCATCATCATCTGATCAGAGCAATACTAATTGAAAAACAACCAGTTTTTTTTTTTCTTTTCAGAAATCAATTCTGAAGATGATCAGAATTGAAAACGGGTCGCTGTAATTTTACAAACTATATTTTACAAGACATATGTCTTGTAAATCAGATGGTTTGTAAAATTACATTTTTATGGGGGTAATGTATAATTTTACAAACCATCACCCAAAAATATGGGTTGCAAAAAAAAAGGGTTGCAACATATGTGCCTCAAAATTGCAACCCATGCCCCATGAAGTAGAATTTTAAGGCACATATGTTGCAACCCTTATGTCTTGCAAACAATATGGTTTGCAAAAGTACATTTTTGCCTCATTTCAAGGAATTTTGCAACCATTACTTTGCAACCCATCTATGTGTTGTAAATTATGGTTTGTAAAATTGCACAACAAGGTATGTAAAATTGAATTTTACAAACCATATTTTGCAACCCTCCAAAAAAAAAAAAAAAAAAAAAAAAAGAGGGAGACAAAAATCAACACAGAAATAAAAAAAAAAAGCATCAAGGACTCAGCCTCAAAAAAACAATAAAAGGCAATCAAAAGAAAAAAGAGAAAGACAGCCTCAACAAAAGATAAAAGGGGCAAAAATGATAAAGACACAGCCTCAACAACACAGAAATAAAAAAAAAAGCATCAAGGACACAGCATCAAAAAAACAATAAAAGGCAATCAAAAGAAAAAAGAGAAAGACAGCCTCAACAAAAGATAAAAGGGGCAAAAAAAGATAAAGACACAGCCTCAAACCAAACAAAAAGGAATGAACAAAAGAAGAAAAAAAAATCAAAAAGCAGATCAAAAATAAAAAACACAGAGCCTCAAACAGAATAAATGGAAAAGTGAAGTCAGTCCAGGAGAACAATCTTTCAATCTCATTTTTTTCTTTCTCACTGATGGTACTTGGAGGTGATCGTTGCTCAGGTGGTCTCAGTATGACCTTGAACCGTATTGGAGGTTTCTGAGGGACTTCTTCATCCTCTGGACTGTGTTTCACCTGAGTTTGAGTAACATGATCATCTGTTTCATCCGCTAGAGACTGATTACCAGTTTGATTGCCAAGAGACTGTTCACCAAGAGCAAAAGATTGATCAACACCGTCTTCGCCAGTATGATCACCAAGAGAAAAGGTTTGATCACCGCCGTCTTTGTTGCCATCTTTGCCACAAGATTGATCACCATGGGATTCAAGAGATTGATCGCCAAGCACAAAAGATTGATCACTACGAGATTTGCCACAAGATTGATTGCCAAGCACAAAAGATTGATCACCATGAGATTTGTTGCCAACCGAGAGGAATGATTTGTCTATTTCCAGTGTGACTTCTGCATCCAAGGAACACTGTTGTTTGGTGTCTGGTTCTTTTTGGTCTAGTACTTTCGAGCAATCTGTGCATTCATTTGAGAGGCGAGTTGTGCAATTGGAGTTGTTCCTTTGAGTGGTGAAGTGTAATTTTTTGGAGCATTACCCGTAGTTGTTGAAGGCGATTTTTCTCTGGCCTGGGATGTGACAGTAGTTGGAGGAGTAGATTTAACTTTGTTTGTGGTGGTGTGGGGAATTAACGTCAAGCTGTGTGATGTGGTCAAAATTGACTTCATCTCCTTGGAAGGGACATCGCCAGAAGCTTCTGGATTTTTGGCTACAATTTTCTGAATCGCGTTGTTGACATATTCTTCCTCCGAAGGTGTCCAATCGCGCAAATAAAGGAGCCAGCTTGTGTTTTCTTCCACTCCGGCAATCGAGCTGGGAACCCGATTGATCTGTTGAGCGTACCCATCATTCTCGGCGTCGTTGTGTAACCAAATTGCGGTCAAACTACCCTTGTCAGCTGAGATGTTAGCACTTCAAAGGACCTTACACCAGTAGTGATTATGTTGCCAGTAGCCTTGGGAGATCAGAGTGTATGTGGCACCTCCAACGTTAATCTTGGATTCTTGAACGGCCAATCGATCGATCCCATAAAGTTATCTTTCTGTTTCTCGTCGGTTACGCCGGTGACATCTACATAGAAATTAAGATGAAGCGGGGCTCCATTTGCTGGGACAGCCAATCTTGATTGATCAATTATGTGGTGTGATGTGTTTTCAGAGGATACAAGCAGCTTGACAATGTCGACATCGGAAGTCACTTTTTGAATTTTGGCGTTCTTCGGGAGCTTCGGTTTTGGTTTGTTTGGATTGCAGTGTTTGCAGATCATACCCGAAGTTGCCAGCAATCCATCGGTTTGCCACATCTCTATTAGCTTTGATACATCAGAGTGAGGAATCCAATTCTCATCAAACATCTGCGGCTTGATTGTCAAGACATGAAGGGTGCGGTGATCTTGAGTGGGGTGCTTGTGCAATTTATTCGGCTGGAGTTCGCAGGTGAAAGTTTGATGTTCATCAATCGAGAAGAGCTGCTTATAATCATCCTTCTTGTGAAGTTGGGGATCCAATGCAACCTCAAGGAAGTAATCGCAAGAAGCAAACACACCAGGAAGGAATCATCCTGGATATTTAGGACTGAGAACATTGAATACCATTTTGGCTTGGAAGCTGGGGGTTGTTAGTAATAGTAGGGAAAAAAATTGCCCAGGCAATCACCCCCTCTGCCCCTAGGAAATATTTTCAGCCGTTGTGGTAATTAAATATGTAAAAAATTCAAAGTTTTTTCTTTATACACATTTTTCTCATATATTCACTCAGAAATCAACCAATACGGCTTCAGAAATGGATTCCACGGACAATTTCAGCCTAGGTCACCACTGGACACATCATTGGAACCCTCACGGATTGGAAGTTACACTCCTACGGACGCATATGACAAGCCAATACCCAGTCAAGCACATGTCACAACCCTCAAATCACCTCTCAGCTATGCTTATACACAGCTCACGGTATACACATAATGTCCCACACCTCTTTATCTCCACCGCATATATTAGTTTGGTTCTATTTGTCACCTCATGCACTGCCTTTGCAGGCTGCCCAGTCTTGATTGAATTACTTTTCCCACAGTTTATTAATTTTCTCACCTCACTTATGACAACAGCTGGATTTTTCCCACAATTTATTGCCTCATTTGGCATTTTCTCACATTATTTACGCACTGCAGCACAGCCCTTGACATTAATTGTACACAGCCTCACTGGTTAATTTCCCTCACTTGCATGATCAGACTAGCTAAATTCACTCATTTGTACCTACAGGCCAGCTAAAATCACTCTTTATTGTCTGACCTGGAGCTAAATTCCCTCACTTTTGTCTATAAAAGGAGGCTCTCTTCCCCCCATTTGTTAGCTCACTCACTCAACTACTCATTCACTCAGTACATCACTTAGCAGTCAATCAATATACAACTCACCAGTCAAAAACAATTATATAAGCCTTTCACCTGTTACACAACATAACAGTTTCTTTTATAAGCAATTATATATTCAACCTTTACCTTTCATCAAACAAAGTTTTACCGGAACCGACCAATCCTATCACGTTATTAAAACTTTCCAAGCTAAGCTTGGGGGTCTTGTTTCTGATAGTATAGAAGGGCAGAGTTTGCACCTCCATCATCCCCTTCTCAATTCAGCAAAAGGGTTTCACAACCACTTTTGAGTCTTACACCGTTTGGACCAGGTAGTAGGTCTGAATTGTATCTAGCTTTTTGTCTCACCAACAAGGCCGGGGGCCCTCTACATTGGCCCCCACCTGCCTTTCAAAAAGGTCATTTTTCCATGAGGTTGATGAGGGACCTCAAGTTCCTTCATCAAACCTCATTGTTCTTCTGTCATACTATGTGTGTATTGATTCATGGATATAGAAACTCTGTACATGAGACATACCTACCTGTGTCTATGACTGAGCATTACCGGTGTGGCAGGATGTGGCACCCATGATTCCTGTACAGAATGAACCAGAGGCTCACAGGCTAACTCATACTATGTGTTGTACCACATATATGTAATAAGGTGGTTTTCAGCTGGAATCAAGTCCCCCACTTTCTATCCAAAGGATGGATAGGTGTTCATCACAAATATTCAAAAAAAGGAAACCAAAGTGATATGCTCACATATAAGTTATGTGACAAACGTTACCGCTGGTCATTTAGTTGGATGGGCTCAGAGCAAGGGTGGGCCGCTACACTAACTGTAGCGGTTAGTGTAGCGTAACACAGCGGAATTCCCATTGGCGCTAAGCGTAGCGCAGCAAAATTCCGCCACATAACCAATTCTTTTGATGAAAAAAAGTGCCGATACACTACACGTTTTGGGCAAAAAGCGTAGTGGCCCACTGCTGATGGGAGTAATGGGCTGTTGTGTGTGAAAGATCCCAGAAAAGCCACAAAAAGTACCAGCTACCAGGCCAAGATTTTGACTTGACTCATAAGCCTCTCTTTCAGAGGCTCGCTTCGCGAGGTGCCCCCGGCCCTCTGGTTGAGGGGATTATGTTAAGCTAGCCCAGAACAGGGGTGCAGAGCACTCGATGCGGTGCATCTCCCTTCGGAGGCTTGCTTTGAAAGGGGCGCTACGCCCCAGCCTGGCTATACCAGGCCCTCCAATCAAGGGGCTTATGGTAAGTCAGGATAGTGTTAGAGATGGTCGATTCGCATCCGGATATCCGCGCGGATGCGGATATCCGCTCGCGTTTTCAGCGAAATCAGGCATCCGCATCCGCATCCACATCCTCCCGCGGATACCCGCTGGGCCGAGCGGGTATCCGGATACCCGCGGATATCCGCGCTAAAAATGACCCCTTGGCTGCAAAAGGAAAGGTTCTTGGGGAAATTTCAGATGCAGAAAGCCGCATAAACTCTAATTTTGAAGTCCTGGCGGCCTGCAAGCCTTCATTTTTTTATTTTTCATTTGTTTTTATTTATTTTTTTTTAAAAAAAAAATCCTTTGCTGCTTGCTTTTTATTGAGCAGTTGGCACAAGTCAAATTTCATTTTATTTTTATTTTTTTTGGTTTGTTCTTTTTTTTTTTTTTTTTTTTTCTTTTCTTTTCTTTTCTTTTTATTTATTTTATTTATTCTGTGACCCTCCCCAAAATAATAAGTATGAAAAAAACAGAATCAAATTTCTTTTTCCCAGGCAATTTTTTTGTTGCTTGCAGCAAACTCATGTATGACATTTGTGGACAATGGACATGACCCAGTGAGAGTGAAATAGAGATAGAAGATAATGAAAAAAAAAAAAAACATCAATCAATTGGGACTACAACAGCAACACTTTGACTCCCACCCGCGCTTTGACTCCCACCAGTCCTCTTCGCCTTAGTCCTAGCTTCATTCTTCTTTTTTTCCATGTATTCGTGGAGCGCCAGGGGTTTTATCTTGTTGTTCTGTGAATAAAAGGCCAACACCATGCCTCTACTTACGGATTTCGGGTGGAGATTGTGTCGCCTAGTGGTGACATAGTCTCTGCCAAAGCTGAAAGTCCGCTCTACATCAACCGTTGTTGCTATACAAAAAGTTAAATGTCAGAAAAAATGATCAGCAAGAGATAACTAAATTACTATCTGGATTGCTTACCTGGACAACACAGGACATCAAGGGCCATCTGTGCCAGGCCGTGATGTGGATTTCCACTCCGTTTCTGCTCTGCCCACCACTTGAGGGCATCAATCGGTTGCCGATCTTCCAAAAACAGGGGACCAGTGAGCCATTGGTCGATGGGGTCACTTGAGGGGGCCGCCTTTCGAGCGTTAGCAGCATCACCGAGACCTGCCAGAACACCAGTTTGCGGTGTGGTGTGCTGTGCCTGTTCCAATGCCAAAAGCATACAGCAGAGGTGTTGGGATAGCATAGTTACATACATGTGACAATCATTACAAGAGAAGGAACAATCATTATGGATGAGGTGCGGTATATACGGACAGGATTACATACAATGAGTGGATTGGGAGAACATGTCTCGACCAGGAATGGAACAAAGGAGCGGTGTGCATACGAGGAGTGGAGTGGGAGATCATATCTCAACCAGGAATGGAACGGAGGAGCGGAAGTATGTACGTGGAGAGGAGTGGGAGAACATGTCTCGACCAGGAATGGAACGGAGGAGCGGTGTGTAATAAGGGTACTTTATGTTTTACGTAAGGGTACAGGGTACAGATTGTAGAAAGTGAAAGGAGGAAAAATATTGAGGCGGAGGGAGGAAGGAAGGAGTGAGGAGAGGCTTTGACCCCCAAATCCTGGGTGGAAGGAGATAACAGCAGGGCTGGCAGGCTGGTACTGCCTATGCAGAATGTTCTAGAAGATGGCTTGGTTGCCTGGCAATGCATGACATCATGCTGCGCTTGTGTGCTCCCTTGCATGCATATTATGTGACAAGGTCTGGAGTTAAGTGTTCCTAGCACAGCATAAGCTGCGCTATTTGTTTGGAGGCTGTGCGCAAAGGCTGTGAAGGTGAGATCCCCTGCAGCAATATTCCCTCACAAGGAGTCCCCTGCAGCAGAAATTCCTCACTCTTCAATATAAAAGAAGGGCCTCTCCCCACCAGAAAGTCCCTTCTCCCCATCAACCTACAAGAGTAAGTTCGATCACCCAAGTTGAAGAATAAGTTAGTAAGTGAGTGAGTTAGTGATAAGTAGAGAGTTAGTACAGTATTTTAAGCGTGAAACCAACACAGAGTTCGGAATTTGAAGCATATTAGTAGTAGTAGTCATCATATAAGTAGTAGTACATTAACAATTAACCAATAACAAGTAGTAGTAGTATTAGTACCGGAGCTCTAGTTTTTGATTAAAGTGCCTTAGCAAGAAATTGTTTGAGGAAGAGATCATTAACAAACTCTACAACAACTCATCTGTTTCGTGCTCAAGTCATCAGCACCACAGTTTCCATTATTAACCTGAAGTTGTAACAGATTCATTAGTAGATTGATACGTGATCTAGGTCTGATAGAGATTACTTTACAAAAGTAAGATCTATCTTGGAATCAGCCATACATTATTAAATATTGATTACAAGACTCTTAGTTATTTGTTTAGTACATTTAGAGGGGCAGGTCTTTCAAACCACCCGTAAGTTGTAATAGCCTTTCAACCTATCTGCAATTTATTTCCCCCTCAAGGGATCTTTTGATATACATATACTTTACCGTGTCTATCCGTCCCAGGAGTCCTACAGCGGCTGGTGGAGGATTTGATCAGTTGATTTAAATTGGAGGGGGAGAATTTAAATGAAATTTACCCTTGCTTGTCCCTTTCCAGCTGATCTTGGTGCTGATTCCGTGTTTCGAGGTTTGTACCACTTATTGTACATCTCGCGAGTGAGCTTAACTGCCTCATCGATCCATTCCTTAGGCCATTTGGCCAACTTAAAGTATTCGTCCTTGAATGAGGGATGGAGAACTGAAAATCCAGAGATAATAATTGTTAGTTGTTGCCAGGAATGTCAGACGGTGAAAGATGAAGAAATTTAAAAGGACCTACCCATGGCAATTCGGTATAAAGGTGAGCAGTCAGTGAGTGAGTAGTACTTGTTTGTAATGCGTAGCCCCGCGCGACAAGCATTTCGTAAAGCCGGAGGGTGATCTCGGTCGGGAACCTGATTTGCAATCACAGCACCAAGGTTGGACGTGATTTGATCAATCATGACGACGATGTCGGCGAGCCGGGCTGAGGCGCTGGTTGATAATTGAAGCGTGATTTCGTAAAAGGGTAGCAGAATTTGAACCAAGTCCGCGGCCAGGTCGAAGTCTTCTTGTTGGAGGTGATAATTGCGGGGTATGCCAAACTGCTTATCACGCTGCCACATGATGCTTTCATGATGAATCGGTCAGTTTGGTTAAATATTGAGGATCAACATATGATTAGACTTACATGGCTTCCTCACATCGGACAATACTTGCGAGTTGGAGGTATGTCGAGTTCCACCGAGTTGGTACATCACGCTCGATAGTGTGGGGCTTCTTGCATTCAGTTTCTTGACAAATCTCGATGAATTTCGCCTTTGAGTTCGGTGACTTCCTCAGTTTCATTGCAATTCTACAGAACTGCACAAAATTGATAAGAGATTAGTTATGCTTCAGAGTTGGGGGAAAGATGCTCTTGAGTGGATAATTAGATAAAAGATGAAGAAACTAAGTTACTAACCTTGGCAAGGGATTGGCGGCACGAGTCAGAAGTATAGTTATCTTGGGAGTCTTCCGCTTCGAGATCCTCAAGATTGGCCAGAGTGAGTTCATCGTCCGAGGGAAGTTCTGGATCATTGTTTCCTTCAGGTGTAGTGTGGATATCGGCATCATCGTCCAAGTCACTGTTCTCTTTCTCTTCATTGAATCTAAAATTTTCCCAGTATTATTAAACTTCTAGTGTCATAGTTGCTTGCTTGGATGAAATGGCTTACCTCTCAATGAGTTCATGCTCTTCTTCATCATCAGACTCCTCATACTCAGCCGTGCCATGGGATTTCTTCCGAGCGAAGGGTTGAAGGATGGCCTTGACAATCAGATTGACGATATGTGCAAAGCACCTCATCCACTGCTCCTCGCCCTTAAATCGTTTCCAATTGAGACTTTCCAACTCTGAAATCATCGTCTCGTTGTTACTTGCATTGTCGGAAACAATACCACATATCTAGACAGAGATGAGGAACAGGGGCAGATATCAGAGAAATAAGGGTGAAAAACATCACACATGGGGGGTTGAGACAAAGAAAATCATACGCACCCTATTTTCTAAACCAAACTTCTCAACAATATATCTTACCATGTGCGCCAGGTATTTGCCTGTGTGCCTTTCTTTGAGCTGCACAAAGTCCAGGGGCATGGCGTCCAATTTTGCATTGCCAGCGCCATCGTCCACAAGTCGATATACCACCGTGCCAATAATATCGTATCTGTTTGGTGACTGCCACGCATCAACACCCAAATATAGGCCCCCCTCATGCATCTGAATAGCCCAAAAACAAAGTTTGTACTACTGTCAGTAATAATCAAAGTTTGATTGATATATGATATTATCAGAGCCAGAAAATTTAATCACTCACCTTTAACTCTTCACATAGTTTCTCCTGAACACATAAGTAGAGCATGTGAATACCTTGTGAAATCATCTTTCGGTTCGGAAGGTTCTTCAAGATTGTTGGATGAAGCAGTCTCTTCATGCTGTCTTCTTCCAAGGCTGAAAACGGCTTCGCTGACTCGGCACACCAGACGACACATCGTTGCAAAACCTGAGGGAACTCAAACACATCAGTCTGGAATTAATAATTATCCAATCAGGCAAAACCTCTAACCTCCCATGGATCGATATCACCTGTTCCTGATACGCCAAGTGATGCCAGGGTCCTGTGACCTGAGGGATTGCTTGCTTTCTTTGAGCATCGAGCCGCGTGCGCAAGGAGATTACCGCAGGAAGACTCGTGTGCGGGTCGATTGATCTTCTTGGAACACCTAGTAACAGTGATTGTAGTTGAGATGATATGTTAACTTAGATGATAATTATTATTTGACAATATGTTTTGGTAATGAAATATAACAATTACTGCCACTTGCTTAACTCACGTCTTACATTGCCACGCAATCATATAGCGATCATACTTGTCCTTCTGATCGGACATGGTCGGTACCTCATAGGATGCATAGGCAGAGCTGACTTGATTACGAGCAAGCTTGATTGCATGGTCTACATAAAAAATTTAATTAACAACCAAAAAAACATAAGAAGAAATCTGCCCAGTAGATTACCCAAACGTAGTGCATCCGTTGAATCAGGGTCCATGTGGTTAGTCGTTGAGGCAGTTGACTCTCCCTCATTGGGCTCCATGGGAGGTGGATCACTCGTGTCTGAGTTATCATCTCGTTCCTCACGTCTTCGGATCCTTTTCGAACGACGTTCCATGATTTGGTTGCTGTTTCTGAGAGCAAAAGGAGAGATTGTGAAGAAGAAGGGGGGGGGGTAAAAAAATGTCAAAAAACATAGAAAAGATTTCATCAGCAAGAATGTGGGGAAAGAGGCAGTTGAATATGACACATGATGGCTTACTGGTATGTTGTGTAAGGATTTAATGAGTCAGAAGAAGCCTGTGGAAGGGAACCAGTGAACAAGCCTGGAAGGGGTTAAAAATCAAAACAGCAAGGTGACAGGTCAGCATCCATCATTAACAATGAAATGATTCATTGAGGGTGAGGGACCCACCTGTCTAACAACTAGAAACATACCTGTCAAAAAAAAAACCTGGAAGGCAGGTTGGAGGCAGGCAAAATAAGCCGGGGTCGCGAGGA